GTTGTAAGATGATAAACATTGTTTTCATGTAAAATAAACAAGAGCATTGTAACATTATTTATTACCCTGTTTTTGTCCATTTTAAGAACACTGAACTTATTATTTTGTAAAAACAAAGGAAAAAAATGTTCTTGTCTTTTTTTTTGTGTAATCAAAAAATATCTTCAGGACCCCACTGTGGGTCCTGAACCCAACTTTGGGAACCATTGCGCTATAGAACCCTGTGGCACAGCCTAAGCTTTTATCCATATTGGCCTTTTTTACGTGTTCATTACTTTTACTTTTATACTTTACTCATTACTCAATACTTTACTTTACTCAAGTAAAAGTATAAAAGTACTGGTTTTAAAACTACTTTAAGTAGTTTTAAAACCAGTACTTTTATACTTTTTCTTGAGTAAAGCACTTGAGTAGATACTTCTACTTCCAAAAATGTTTTTTTTTATTCCAAGTATCTATACTTCTACTTAAGTAATGAATTTGAATACTTTTGACACGTCTGCCCATGACAGACGAACATCATCTCTGCTTTGCTTCATCCTCATTGGTTCAAAATATTTGGAAACATTTCAGTGGCTCAGAGCAATTAAATCAGGAGTGCGTCTGCAAATTAGTATTTTTATTTAAAAAAAAAACCTAAAACTTACCCAAGTACATAATGTCTTCTCACAGGATTATTATTATTGTTGTTGTTGTTGTTGTTGTTGTTGTTGTTGTTGTTGTAATATGTAATGATGATGTAATTAATTGCCATTAGTCCATTGAAATAGTGTCAGTGCTTCAGTTGGCCACCAGGTGTCACTGTTCTCATTTAGTTAGGGCTTCACATTTCTTCACTTAACAAATCTTACCTTTAGTTAAAAACAAAAACAACCAGGATGATGTGGTGACTTACACTCACGAGACAAAGGAATAAAACAAAAAATAAATAAATAATAAATTCAACAATAAACCAGGAAACACAGGTTAGCTGTGGCAGCCGTCTTGGATCAAATTGACAGTAAACGTGCATCATTTGTCTGCAAGCTTCAGAGTAACTAGAAAAGACAGAGACGGTGTCAAAACAGACATGAGAAATTATAAGAAATAAAAACTTTAAAACGTTTTGCTAAATGCACCTTCAGGTCAGATCTGACCTGAAGTTCATATCAGTGAATGATGTTTTTTTTTTTTTTTTTTCCTAAAGTTGACTGTGTTCAGAGTTGAGATGTTGACACTGTTTATATCTGGCAACAGATCAATGTGTCCTTATTTCCACCAGAGTCTACGTGAGCGCAGTGAACTCTTTCCAACATTTCTGCAAACACTGATTTCAGCTCTGAGCAGAAGTTTTGAACAGACTCTTATCTTTATTCACACAAACGAGAAGAAATGTTTGCCGATTCTCTACACCTCATCTCGCTCTGCACAAACCATTAGAAAACTGTACAGTAAAAAAACATCGTTTTCATAACAAAAGGTCAAATATTAGAAGAGAAACGTCACAAATAAAATCTAATAAGAAAGAAATTTAGAAACAAACATTGTAAAAAAAATAATAAAAAGGTTTCATGCAGCAGTTTTGAAAAAGAGCCTGAGAGGTTTGAACAGAGGAAATATTTCAACACAAACTTTGAGAAAACATTCGGATTCTAAAAATCTCACATTGATGCACTGATTCTCAGCCTTTCTGGTCATAAATCCTGCCTGAACTGCTGAGAGCAGCTCACAGTCGGGATGAAAACTGAACATCAGCACCAGCCTGCAGGAGGAAAACACCTGTTGAGGTCGTCTGCAGGGATCTGATCCAACCTCCAGTCCCACCTGCAGAACCTGCAGAACCACATCCGACCAGAACCAGGTGACAGATTCACCACAAACCGGAAAAACGTCAAATCAAAATCATCTGCTGTTCCAGGTGTTTCTCCTTTTTTTTTTCTAACGGTCTGTAAACGACCAGGAACTGACGAGACCAGGTCTGGAGGTTTTGGAGGAACCTGCCCATGTCAGAAGCACTAATACACCACCATACCATCAGAGAGGCTGAGTTTTGAACTGTGTGATAAAAGTCTGTCTGTGGATTAGAGCTGGGCGGTATGACCCAAATTTTATATCACGGTATTTTCAACAATTACACCAGTTTCACGGTATTTGACGGTATTTTTTCCTCACAGCTCAGCTGATGATAAAATGTACAAACTTTGCTTATTGACTTTTTTCTTTTACTGTACCTCTGTATCACTGTTTCCCTCCTCTTGTACGTCTTTTCTTCTTTGTCTGGTTGTAGACAGTAATCGTGCATTTTGGTCCGATCGTGAAGGGTTGAGAAAAAATAATTATCGGTCTATCGTTGCGTGTCAATAAAACTTAAAAGGACGACTAACCTTGCACACCAGTCAATTCCGCTACACTACAAAACTACTTCCCCCCGGGCTTTTCACAATAGAAGCACGCTAGAGTCTCCATGCAATAACGTCTCCATTTTAACGTAGCGCGTTAAATCTAACCGTGCACGTCACTGAAGAGTTGTTTACTATTCAGCAATGGTGAAAACGGGATGTTTTTTTAACGTCAGACCATAAAAGCGGCTGAAACACACCACCCGCAAGGTTAGCATGCTAACACGCTTAGCGGTGCTGCGAGGAAACATTTCCCCAGGAAAACAGCAGCCGCGATGAAACGTTCCGCACATGTTCAGGCTATTTACACCGGTATTCAGAAAAGTCATATAACAAAAATAAAAACTAGTTTTCAGTAGAAAACGGTATACCGCCCAGCACTACTGTGGATCCGTCTGACCACAGAACAGTTCTCCACTTTGCCTCAGTAGACCGAACTAGCTCTCAACGGGGTCAACATGTGGCTTCATTACAGGATAGAGCTTTAATGCTGTGTTTACATGACTTGAGATTTAAAGTCTTTTTAAAGTCTTAATTCAGGAACTTTATTTTGAAGTTATCCCACTGTGTTTAGATTCTGTCATTCAGGTGAATCTCTCATCTTTATTCTAAAAGTCTGTTTTTATCCCCAGTTCTCTGACTGACCTGCTGATTTTAACCTCACTAGCTGTAAAACTCTCCTCCAGCTGTTTGATATTTAAAATATTTATTTGTTTCAAACTTTTGTTGCAACTATCAACAGGTGAGCTGCTGTCATCAAATTTTAAAAGATGAGATTTATCAATAAATGGAACAATTTGTGAGTTTCAACACTTGATGGGCTATAGAGGCCCTGAAAAAGAGGGGAACAGTAGATTTTTTATTATTAATTTATTTTAAGACCCATTTTCTAAGTCATTTCTAAGTTCATTTTTTCTCAAAGGCATACATAAAAATTATTGTGATGTGCAAAATTTGATCAGTTGTGTTTTTCTAAAGTAGGGGAGACCGTGGCTTGTTGTCACACTTTTTACACTTGTATATTTCTTGGATGCAAAACATCATGTAAAAAAGAAATGTATACCAGATGAAAGACCAAAGTCTTGGGCATATATTTTGTATTCATGTCATTTTCACATCTTGAATCAGTGCAGAGTTATGGGCAATCAAATAGAGAGAGTGACCATGTGACATGTTGCCCCACCATGGGGTACGTTGTCTCATTATATGGGCTAAGATGTCACACTGGATTTTGCAACTAATAAACCAAGGACAAAATTATTGTTGTTCTGTTTTTTTTTCCCCGAAAGTGAACTTGAGAGTAGAAGTCAGGCGCAGAAAATGTTTACTACTGAGCTTGAAAAAAAAGTCATTGAACAAATATTAACATAAAGAATTATGCAACATGAACTGGATTAAAGTCCTTAGGAACTGCTTGCACACAGGCTAGACCAGTGGTTCCCAAACTTTTTATCTTCTGACCCACAAAATATCCACGGCAAAAACTTGTG